TGTTGAGCCCTTCCTTTGCTTTTTTTTGTTTTCCAGGTAGGGTGCACCCCGGCCTCGGTACGAGGTAGCTCGTCGTCAGGGGCCGATGGTCTGACGTGACAGTGTATGCATGTCACTCAAGCTCTCGTCGCTGCTCGCTTCCCTTTTTCTCTATTCCCTCGAGTCCTCCTCCCCTAAGTCATTCGTCGGGTGTATATCCCGAGTCTGGAAGTCTGTAGTGTGCAGTTCTAAATTCCTGTTGGAGGCAAGGTTTTGACCTTTTTTGACCTTTTTACCTCTTTGGAATGACTCGGTATAGTAGTGGCTCGATGGCAGAGAGGGAAAGAGGAAGGGAGAGAGAAGAGAAGGAAGGGGGGAGAGAGAGAGAGAGAGAAGAGAAGGAGAGAGAGAAAAGGGAATGAGAACAAGGTATTCAGGTACATAGGAACGAAAAGTCCTGCTGTCTGCTGTCTGCTACTGTGGGTGTATCAGTATGAACACGCCCATGACAGTCACAGGTCAGCCCGACAATGAGCCACGCTTGGCCGCCTCATACCATATCATGCTTTCATGCTTTTTTTTTGGTTGGTGTCTTAGCCGTCCTAGGCTTTATGGATGTTATTAATAGCAATAGGTGTCCAGACTCCAGAGTACTTGGGTAGGTTGCACCCTCATGTGCACCGTAATGAGCCTCCGACATTGTGCATGAGTTGAACACAAGCATACACCTTAAGCGTCACTCCAACTTGCCACGCGACGAGGACCTGAACGACAGCCTTGTATGGCGATCATTCCTCCATGACTCAAAGAGCCTGAGGCGAGCCCGGCTCCCCTCCCTGCCTCGGAGGCTTCACGCCGTGTCTATTCAAGTGTATACGCTCTGCAGAAAATCACCACAATTAGCACACGCATTGACTCAATCGAAAAGACAAAAAACTCACCTCGGTGTACGCATTCACTTGTATGCCTCTCTCCGCCATCTCCTCCTCACACAGGAAATCCAGGGGCATCCAAACAAGATGTCCCCGAATTTTGTCCAACTCCTTCCGCACAAGCTCTACCGGCATGTGTGGATCATGTAAATGGCCTTGTTTGATCGTCTGGCGAGGTGCAAAGTCATCGTAATCCTTCCACGTCTTGATGTGGTTGTCCGGGTCTGCGCGGAATAGATAGCGGTACACGTCGGTGTTGGTAGTGGCTTGACTCGTCCATTTTTCCCAGAGTGTGTCGGACAATGGATCAGCCACGAACTCCCATTCTTCGCCAGAGTATTCGTCGTTCATGCATACGGTTGGCGGTTGGGCATTGGGGTCATTGGAGGCGTCCACGGATTGCGCTTCGATCATGCCCAGGTGTTCACGCCAGATATGGCGTCGTAAAGTTGCAGCGTGGTACCCTGCTTGATACGGCTTGCCGTCCATGGTCGATTCAAGCACTTTGGTGTCGGTCATGACGATCGAGAGTTCCGAGTCGTGCGAACCCAACATGGAACGATCGTTGATATTGCTCGATCCGCAAATCACCGTCTTGTCGTCCACAATCAGCAATTTGGCGTGGATGTAGAGTTCCTCTTGTACAAAGTTGTCCTTCTCGGCCTCGGGTTCACCTTCCCATGGTTCTTCGCTAACGAGCCCGCCACGAGCCATGGCATCTTCGGCGATTGACTCGGCCGAAGTGACGGGGTCCTTGACGTCGAGCTTCTTGCGCGCAGCCTCAAACCGGCGCTTGCGGTCAATGATGGCATGTTGTTCATCTTCACTGACGTTGGCACCTGTGCCACGGGATTCCTTTTCGGTCTTTTCGCCTTCGTAACCATGGATGCCGCTGCCCATGATCTCCTCTGCCTCGGCACGCTGGAGCTGTTGGTATGACACTCCAGACTCTTTCTCCTGTTGAATGAGTGATGGGGTCCGATCGATGCGGTCATAGGCACGCAAATTGAAGACAAATATGTACTTGGTGGGATCCACCCCGGCGGCTTTGAGTTGTCCAAAGATCGAGTGTTCGCCTCGATTGATGCTCTTGTATTGATAATCCATTATGGCCCTTGTCCCGATGGCCGCATCGCTGCGAAGATCACCTGCAAAACCTGGAATGGCAGGGATGAGTATGATGACTCGGAACTTGCGGTTTTCCTTTTCAGCACGGACGCATGCATTGACTATTGCTCGGCCGATTTGGTTGTGGATGGGCGACTGATGCTCGCCGGTAGCAGTGATGAAAAACTGATTTTCAATGTAGACGTAGTGCTGGGCATTTTCAATCACTTCAACATAGGCGGTTTGAATACTGTGATCGAGCAAGATGCCACTGCTCCAGTCATCGCTGCTCCGAACCAGCTGCGCGTGGACAGAACCGGCATTCTGAAGGCCCTTGCCCTCGAGCGGACTGAGAGGATGCTCTATATACTTTCCCACTGGGTGTTTTGGTCTTTGAATCGCAATGAGGTCTTCGTCCGGGTTGGAGCCATCCGCCCTTGATCGAGTGGTCATACACAGATAGTCGACACCCTCATCTCGCTTGTATTTGTCTCGCTTGACAAAGTTCCACCTCAGGACAAAATGTTCGGCAATGTCTAATACGGAGTCGCCAACCACAGCCATTGCTACGTCATGCCATGGCATTCGGCCGTAGTCGGTCTTGTTGAGTTCGTTGTTGGACCAATCCTCGACTGTGTGGAAGTCCATGATCCTGCGTGGAAACCCTATCAGTTCTGGAATTCATAGAGATCGTGTTGTGACATACCTGTTATTGTTGAAATCTTGTCCAGGGAAGATTTCGTTGACCACTCCGGAGGGATGGACATCTGCCAGAAGATGCTGACGGAGATCCCACCTTCCGTAGCACAGATCTAAGCCTCCGATGAACGCGAGATGGTAGTCAACCACGATAAACTTCTCATGATGCGCCCAGTAGAAAGTCATGTCACCAAAATTCTCGAAGACGTTATGGTCCGGGTGGCGCAGGATATGGATATTCCCGTGCCCAGGGCTGCCTTCGGGGCAAAGTGCTCGTAAGGCATGCTTCGTGTGGGCGGAATTACAAGTCAAGGCTTGCTGAACCTCCTTGTAGACAATCACATAGACTTGGACTCCGCGCTCGGCAGCACGCTTGATGGTTTGATCCAGACGCCATTCCTGGTTGAAAAACGGCGGGCGGCGCAGGAACAGCTCGGGCGAGAGCCACCAGTCGGCAATGTAAATTGTCTCTTTGGCATTCTCGAGACCAACCGAGACAGCCCAGAAGTAGTCGCGACCGTCAACATACCACTTGATGCGGTTGTTGTCGCGCTCGGGGAAGAAGGACTCGAAGCGATGAGACTCGCAAATGGCTGTTCTCTTGCGGTCCGTCTCTTGTTCATGCTCCTCGTCATGACGATGGTTCTTGTTGACCAGGTTCTTGAGCTTGCCAATCTTGTGCTTGAGATGGATAGCCTCGATTTTGGCATCGTGCAGCTTGGTATCTAAAATGGGGGATAATCATCTACCTGTTCGGGCCGAAGGATTGACAAGGCAGACCTTTGAGCTTTTCGCGAAGCGCTTGCATCCTGGACCACTCTTTACGGCTCTTTTCTTACCGCCTGAGGCAGAAATGTAATTACTGGTACGCGCGCGCGGTTCGGTGTCATGCGACTGCGACGGTACAATGGGCGATGTGCGAAGGGCGATTCAAGGACACTGCCGGGGATCTTGTCGACAGAACTGAAGCAGTGAAATAATATGGGAAAGAGCAAAAGACGGACGAAAAGACTCGGAACAGGTAAGATGTGGGAACATAGTTTTGCAAACTTCATTGACCAAGGTCAAGCCCTCTGAAGTGGACTGGGATCGTGAGCTGCTGTTGGGCGCATTCTATCGTAGTGTCAGATGTTCAGCTCGCACGACCAACCAACTACGTCATCAGGCATTTCTCGTCCTGGCACCCACCTGGTGTCCCCAATTGCCCCCCCTTGTTCCCCCTCCATGCCGCTATCCGTCTCGCCGTGTGGTCGCTGGGTACGCTCCCAGTGCAACGATTAAGTACTCGGGCAGTGCCAGGTAATCTCAGTACCTCGCACAGGCGTTCGGTCTACCAAAAGAACCTCATCTGCACAATCTGATGATATTGGTGTTGAGAACTAATGATGACCAGGACAAACGCCACGCCAATCTGCAACCGGCACTGAGAGCAATGCGAATCCTCACCTCAGAGGAGGAACAAGAAACATATTTGATACACCTACATCCATCCAAATGACCCGTCAAACTCCCACACCACGTCTCGCTGATATCCTAGCCGAATCTGTTCAAAACTCGGCACGATGCCCTTGTCGTAGAATTGCACCAGCTTGTCCATGTCTTCCTCATTCATCTTGTTGAACTCCTCAGTGCTCCATTTATCACAGACCTCGCTCATCCAGCCCATCCTCTTGCTGATGTCGCGTGTGGTTTTGCCCGGCGCAATCTTTCGGAGCATCCTCCTCAGTTGCCCAACCTTCTTGATGCTGTCCCCCGTGCCCTCGGGTAGCATTTCACCAATTTGTCTGCGGATAGCCGCCGCCATTCTAGGGCCGTTTCCGTTGGTAGAAACCATGATCTGGAGGGGTCCATCGCGATGGACGCTGCCAAAGTAGAAGTCGCATTCGGGAGGCACATCAGCGATATTGGCGGGGACTTTCAATTTCTTGCAGTACTTCCAGATGCGCGTGGATGCATCAGGGTCATCGATCGCGCTGAGGACCATGGCGACATTCTTTTCCGGCTCGAGGTCGAGAGGGAGGAATACTCGGTCGATGTGTTTGACCTGTCCTTGGTCTACGCGGAATGCCACCTCCTCGTTCAAGCCCTCGCGAGGGCACACCACTGTTACTTTGGCGTCGGCATTGAGCAAGTTGACGATCCTGCCCGCCGCAACCTAACGCGAAGTGCGAGTCAGCGCTGTGTGCCATCACGATTTTGGATGGGGTCTCCATCAAAACATACCTCACCACCACCGATTACGAGGACTTCTCTGCCTTTAATCTGCCATGCGAGAATCAGGGAGCCTCCACCCTGGATCTCTGGGAATTTCGAAGGCATGATGAGCGCATAATGATATGGTCACCAAATGCCATGGAGTCAAATCTGACTGCGAAGGGGGTCATAATACTGGATGATATGGAATGCAAAGGATGTGCAGTTTTCGGGAAAAGTATTCGGAAAATGGTAATATTGTGTCTGACGGCTGCAATGGGCGATTATGCTGGTGATTCCAAGTACAAATGGCGTAACTGCCCTCAGTCTGACAAAAACAATCAGAGAATTCTACCGCTCCACCGTATAGTCACGTGGAGAGTATTTTCAAGTGTTGTGTGATTGGTCGATTGGCTCTGCCTCTTCAAAAAATGTTCACGTCCACCTTTCACACTTGCTTGCTTCCGGCTGCCCTCGCTCTTGTGTAACCTTCCAGACAATGAGAGATTCATGGACGAAACCTGCCTCGAGACGATGACATTGAGCTGAGTCGAGAAACAGTCAGTACTCTTTGTGCGAGTTGTCAGGCTCTCACTATTCTCTTTGCTTTGCCTCGATCTAAGCAACCCGTTCAGTTGACCACCATGCGCGGCGTTCAAGTCTTCTCCGGCAGGTCGCATCCCGCCCTCGTCGAGTCTATCTGTGAGAGGCTGGGCTCTTCACCAGCCAAATGCGAACTCGGGAACTTCGCAAACGGGGAAATCAGCGTCCAGATAGGCGTCTCTGTTAGAAACGAAGATGTCTTCATCGTGCAGAGTGGGAGTCCTCGCATCAACGACAGTGTTATGGAAATGCTCATCATGATTGCTGCATGCAAGGGCGGCTCGGCGAAGTCAATCACTGCCGTGATGCCCTACTTCCCCTACTCTCGCCAATCCAAGAAGAAGAGCCATCGAGGGGCCGTCACCGCAAAGATGTTGGCCAATCTTATGGTGGTAGCAGGGGTGGACCACATCATCACTGTGGACCTTCATGCCTCACAGATGCAAGGGTTCTTTGGCAAACCCGTCGACAACCTATTCGCGGAACCGATCATTGCCCGATGGATCAAGTCCAATGTTCCCCGTTGGAGCGATGCAGTCGTGGTGAGCAAGAATGTGGGTGGCACCAAGAGAGTAACTTCGCTGGCCGACGCCCTCAAGCTCAGCTTTGCTCTCGTGTCCACGGACAAGGATCGTTCACGACATTCACACCATCACAACAACCTGGCCGACAGCACCGTATTTTTTGATGCCATTGAGCCACAGTCCATGCGTTATCGCGACCACCTTCTGGATGGGGACGACACTGATGATGCTGACAATGAATCGGAGAGGTCACACCACCGAGGGCTTCCTCACCGTGCCAGGGGTCCCACACTAAACGGTGTCAGCCGCTCCGGTATTGGCAGGCCAAAGGCAGTCACAATTGCAGCAAGCCCCCTAGTCCAGGCGGCCAGGGCGGAAACTCCTTCCCCTTCTGCTTCACCCGACCCATCATCCCGCCTCGAGCCAGCCCTTCCCAGCGCACGTCGACCCTCGGAGTACGAAGCTAGTGAAGCACACAACGACCAGCGGGCAAGAGATGTAGTCGTGGGTCGATTGATCCAAGGTCACTTGGTGGACGAAGACCATCCCTCTTCAGCAATGTCAAGTATGTCAGCTTCCCTCGCTAATCTCGTGGGCGAGCGACCTCTGCAAGACGGCACAGACAACCCCACCAATGATCCCATGACTTCTTCATTTGTATCCAATGCATCGTCCTTTCAACCCGAACACGCCCTGGGTGGGACCTTCGACGCGGCAGCAACATCGGACGAGGAAGAAGAGGGCATCAAGAATCCTGCCCTCGAGCACACAATTACCCTTGTAGGAAATGTCAAGGAGAAGACTGTTCTCCTGATGGACGACATTATGGATCGGTCTGGTTCGTGGATTGCAGCTGCGGAAACCTGTGTCAAGATCGGCCACGCCAGGAAGGTTTATTGTATTGCAATCCATGGCCTGTTTGGCGAAAACTCCTTGGAAGAGTTAGAAGCATGCGATTACATTGACTATGTGGTCGTGACAAATACCTTTCCTGTGCCGCCTGAGCGGATCCGTGCCTCGAAAAAGCTCATCATGATCGACCTCTCAAATCTTCTGGCTGAGGCCATCCGCCGCAATCACCATGGAGGTAAGTGCAGATGCCGTATTGAGAGTATTCGCTGCTAACTCGGCAATCTGGCAGAGGACATGTCGACGCTGTTCCATTTGAACGCCTAAGAATGACCTGCTCAGCCTGAATCCGTAGACAAGCCTCCTTGTCACCTCGCGCCTGTCACCTGTTCGAACAAGCGTCATGACCACTCGAAATGCCTTTGTTGAGGGTTAGCATGACCAATCACTTACAGTCCCACGTCCTACGAGTGCTTCGGGATACGTAATGCAAAGCATTCGATGCCACTATCCCTGTAAAGCAGGAACCAAAAATTGTCTTGGTTATGAGCTCACGGATATGCCTCAATGGCGCACGTCAGGAGCCCAGGAGCCCAGGGACTTGTCGGCACCTTCCGGACGTTGATAACGTCCATGATACTGTCAAACCCCGGCTGATGAGCACGGTGTGTGCTGTTGTGTTACAACGATTTTCGGACGTTTTCAAGCCACTTTCGTTTCGAGCACGGGCGCTACGTACCACCCAGGAATGAGGGACCACGCTTCTCTCAAGTTCGGTTCCTCCAATCAATGGTGGCGTATCGGTGACACAAACCGAACGGTAGCTCGAACCTACCCAAGAGTTTTCTTTCAACGACACGGGATCGACACGACAGAATGCCCCCGTATCTGCGTCCAATTCTCGGGACGACTGCACCTGGGGATGCATGACGGCCTTACCTCGTCTTTTTGCTATTCTTGTCCCCCAACAATAGGAGAGTTGCTATCGCGCGTTACATGGAAGTAGGGACTTCCTATATGACACCGATTTCGAACTCTGTGTATTACCATGGCGTATGGATAGAGCCTTTTCGGGTTTTTTTTTCTGTCAACTTTGCTTACTCGGATATGCTGTGGTGTAGATCTCGGAGAGTGGAGAGCTGAAGCAGACGGAAGCGCATGCAAGATCGAAACCAAATCCATCTCTTCTGCCCAGTGAGAACCAGTGCATGCGGTGTGTTGCAGCTGCGGGGCTTGTCTAAGGACCAGCTAGCGCAGATATTGAGAGTCGTCAGCCGGGACCAACTGATTAGCAGGGGCACGGATCCGGTTTGGGGGTCCTTTGGGGGTATTGTGTGGGCAACTTCAATGGGATCTAACGCTGAAAAAAATCTTGGAGAGGGGCGAAAGAGGCCCGCAAAACGCAGCACAGGGGTTTGGATCTGGCGAGCTGGAAATCTCTCGGTAAAAGATCGACACTACGCCTCGTTAAGGACGATCGAACGACACGGCGAGAACCACCAGGCTGGTGTCGCTAGGCAATCGAGTCCCGTGCTTGTGGCTTGCTCCTCGCTCCTTGTTCCTCGCTTCACCCTCCGCGCTTCACGCCTCAGTATTGCGTAGCTTGAGCCATACAGCGACAGCACGGCCTTTGGAGGTCAGTCTGCCGCTCTAGAACACCCGGCCATCCTCGGCCGCGCTGAAGGGGGGACTCAGCTCAGACTTGGGCTGGACAATCTGGACAGTCTGGAAAAGCCACTTTGTTGTACCTCCTCCTCCCCATGATATTGGAGCACGGACTATCGAAACCTTGCCAGGGGCCTGGGCCACAGTCCAGCGCCCTCCAGCGCCCCACAAATCCATCCCGCGGTAACGATAGTGGGAAAGTTCAACCCGCGCCGGTTCGACGACGGGACTGCTCGTTCAACCTGTCAACGCCTGTTTTCTTCCCCCAGATGCTGGCCAACCAAGAGCCATATGTTGAGCGGATATGTCATCTTTACGCCTTCTTTACCAGGACGAGTAGAATCAGGCAAACTCTAATCTTGGCTCAGGTCTGGAAAGGGGGAATGGTTAAGCAGCAAACCGCACTATCTATGCTCGTCACAACCCCTACCAGCTGACTGTGGGCTCTCAAGCATTCTCTCAAGAGTCAAGACACACAACCGGAGCTGATGCGTTAGGCTGTCGGGGGGATGCGATCCCGTTGAGCTATGGGACACCCAAAACTCTCTTTCGGATGGATTAGGTGCGAATGCGACTTGCCGTTCCAGTGTTCCAAGCGTTCGATTCGCTCAATCACCGTCAAAAGGTGACCTTGTGCCCTCTGGAGCCATCCCTTTACGGGTAGTAAGAAACGCTGTTGAACGGGTTCTTTCTTACCCAAAGGATTTCCACACGGACAATGTCACCGCATGCATTTTCATCCTCTCTGGCTCACCACTGCACACAACAGCAGCCACAATCCCACCCCCCCTGACATTTCTCGACGCCAAGTGACAGAGGCATAGCGCTGCGACTGATCTGTTTGCTTGTCACAGTCCTTGAGAGCCCGGTCGATGCGTCGAAGCGTGATGAATCACCATGTCGTCCTGCCACAAGCCTCACTTGCATGAACAAACGGAGTGCTATAAGTACTGCTCGATCTTCTCCTGTCGTGGACCCTTCGTCCTCGAACCACTACCCTTAAGAAGCCTTTGAATCCGATTGCCCAGCTCTCTCATCAGTACGCTCAACGGACGGACAAGTCCAAGAATTAACATCATGAAAACCAACACTGACGTGAGTCTTGAGTTTCGCGCACTCTGACACGGGCGGCTCTGCTGGACCGGGAAACATGACTGACGCTCAACATGTGCTTCCTAGCCGGCCAATTCTAGATTGAATTTCCGCTACACTTATCAACAGTGTCCACAACATCGATACATCAAGATCGCGGCCCCGAGAGACAGTCCTTTAGTTTGGCAATGCCAGAAATGCACAGCGGCCCACACCACCATCTTCCAGTGCACGGAATGCGGCCATAATTTATGTGCGAGCTGCTGTCACTACAGCACCCAGCGGAAGGGCGTCGTCATACCTTCCGTGAGTCACCCTCGCGGCTAGAGAGGAGATGAGAATCAGTCAGAGAGATACAGGCGCCAGTGCGGTGCGGTGCGGTACATGTCTGCGTTGTGCTGAAGTACAACGGATCTTTGGGTGTTGAAGACAGACTCAAACATGTCCTGATGAGGTGCTTTTGGGATGTCCTCTCGTTCAACATCTCCTGTTGACTCGATGGATCCGACCAAATGGACCTGGTAGCGGCTCTACGTCTCTGCGACCACTATATGGGGGGGAAAGAGTGCTGGCACAACAACCATGGTGGCTGAGAGCAGACTGCACACCGGCGATAGTTGCGTGGGGACCTCATTTCAGAATGCTTAGGGAGTGTCCACTGTCTGCGGACATGGTAGGAGACTCTTTTTTTGGGGAGGGAATTGCTAGAAGTTTAGCTGGTGTCCATGGAACGGGCTGGAAAGTGAGCGAGATACCAGCGAAGTAATTCATATCATTATCATCACGATGGTCATGGTCATCTCTGTCAAGCCTTGTCTGACTGCTTCCCTCGAGCCATCTCCTTTGTGTGCCATGCACAACTTCGTCCCAGCGAGAAGACCCTCTACGCTGTATCGAATTTATTTCTAGTTGACCCTTTTATATATCATACAGATACACATACAGATACAGATACACATGCACATACACATACTCTATCTCCCTACCCTTTCTCCCTCCCGCTCCCCCTTCCTTTCTCGCATTGAATCCTCCATTGACATATCCACTGTACACCCAGCCACCACGATCTCACGACCTCACGACCTTTCCAAGCCCGGCCGACCGACCACACATTCGAGCCCCAAACAAGAAAATCACACCAAAAGTCTCGATATCAAAAACATGTTATCATCTCCGAACAAGGCGATAACGAGATCGCGCCCACATGCCTACGGACCCGTCCACGCCACCCACCAGGAGTCGCGGACACGAGAAGCAGAACCGGAAAGCGGGTCTCACGAGCGAGAGAGGCGATGACTGAATGAGTGAATGAGTGAGTGGATTTCCCACCCAAGCGGAACCGATCTGCCTTGTCTGTCTGTCGATATAGATGACATTTTATCTTGTCCGCAAAACATCCCCACTCCTCCTATATGGTTTTTATTGTGGCGGCTGGGTCCAGGGACGTGGACGAGGACAAGGACGGACGCCATGCATTCCTTCCTCCATACATACCCGCCTACGTGCCTACATACGGGGAAGTTGTGTAGGTGGGGTTCAAATCTCCTTGGGAGACAGCAGACCAGCAACAGGCGCGAGGAAGACGCATGAAAACGCTCCGGAGATGTGGACGGGGACAGGTGATCAGAGACCCGGACCCGGTGAGGGTTCCAAGGCACAAGGGATGGGGCTCAAGAGATCCGAAGACGGGAAAGCAAACAACCAAGCAAGGCCGTAACTCGGTACTCGTATATCTCTTCCTATGCCACACCGTCTCTCTTTCTCGCTCTCCACACACACACACACACACATGCACACACGCACACATGAAAAACGAGGATGGGTCTGCCTTTGTCTGTAAGGGTGTGTGTGCAAAGAGCCCCCGTCAAACGCCACCAGACTCTCTCAAAACTCGGAACACCAGGTATCCGGGGTTGTGATCTGAACAGGCAAGCTAGGCAAGCCAGGACAGAGTAGGGTAGGGCAGGGCAGAGCAGGGCAGAGCAGGGCAGGTAGTGGGGTTAGAAGGGACCCTCTCGTCGTCCTGCCCCTTTCCAGTCGTGTGGTGTCGTGTGGTGTCGTGTTGAATTGTATCCAGTCTACCTACCGAGTAATAGTTTTGTCCCCTGGTCCAGCCCAGCGATGCTAGGCTATGCTAGGCTACCATGAAAGCAAGAAGGATTTTCCCAGCAAGTACGAGGGTATTCGTCTTCGGACCCATCACTCAGGGATCATCCTGCATAAGTCGAATAGCGAGCGAGGAATAGGATACAGGAATAGACTAGGACGACAAGGATGGGAAAGAGGGTGGAAAATGGTTCCGCCCCGACAGGTCGTAGGTGGCACAGCATCACAGACGCAGATGCAAGTCTTGGGGAGGGAGAACCAGTCCGAGTCGCAGGGAAACGGAGTTCCGAGATTCCCCCAGGTTCGAGTGTGGTCAGAACGCGTAGTGCGTACGAGGTGATGCGTGTGGCTTGAGGTGGAGAGGAGGGTGAGGGTGAAGATGAGGTCCCATGCATGTACATACCGAGTACGAGGGGATGCCAAGGGACAAGGGATCAGGGCAGGGGAGGGGTGATTTATTTGTCAAAGATGGAGGAGAGAGAAAGAAAGAAATGGTATTTCTGCACAATTGGACGGGCAGGGGAGACACGGATACCAAGGGAGGTCAGGGACCTTTGTATCCAACTGATGAAGTGATGAAGTTGACCGACTTCCCAATCTGTCATTGTGCATGGCTACTCCCTACCACTACAAGCACATGAACATCCAAGGTAGATATCTACAGTACCTGAGGATCAATTCTGTAAAATCATACTTTAGGCAGGCAGTCAGGTATGAAGGTATGAATGTAGGTAGGTAGGTAGGTAGTTGAACTCCAAGGTATATACCGAGTACGTAGCCATCATAGATACTTGGGTATGTATGTGCTCGGTATGCAAGTAACCAACTGGCCAAGCATATATCCATTTTTTCAATCCGAGTGTATTTACTCGTACAAGTCTGTCGTCGGAAATATATTCCACGCCTCAAAACCCAGACTGTGATTGGATTTCGCCCTGGACAAGCTGGCGGTAATTCACGGTACCTGGTATTCCTCGCTACCAAGTAGCTGGCTCGGTGGAGATACACTTCACTTTGAGGTACCGAGTACTGCTCTCTTCTACTCTACTCTACATCCTACTCATACCATCGATATTCCTTCCACTTCCACTCCCACCCCCCTGACCTCCTAATTGCTTTACCGCCCCTTTATGGGCCACATCATCATCACATCATCACCTCTCACCGATACCGTCATAATCATCACCATCACCACCGCCAAAAGCAGCAATCGCAGCAGTAGCAAACTGAATATGGACCCCCCGGCTTTACCGAGCCCGAACCCCATCGATCGCCAAGTCCGCTGCCCATCGACCTTTTGTTCAGATCCAGCCACCCCCCTTTGCCCTTGAGAACCGCGATCGCCCACCCCGATTCGTACTACCCGATACTACGCACCTCCCGAGTAAAGACCGCAGCCTGATCTGCGTGTCTGGCAAGATTGGTGGAATATGAGGCTGGCGGGACAAAACATCTACACCAGCGGCTCTGCAGTAGCAAAACTCAAAAACGCGCAGCTCGAAAACACGCACTTTCATTCATATCAGTCACCCTCGCTATACAATAGTCATCGCTCCCAAGCCAAATTCACCAGGCTCGGTCTGCCCAAGACACAAACACAATTGTACGCCAAACAACCCCAGACCTCCAACCTCCAACCCGTCATGAGAAATCTCGCCCCTCCAGCACCATCGGCGCCACCAACGTCCAGCTGTAGATGGCATAACATATCCATGCGCTGATAATCTTGATCCAGCTCGCCCAGTATGTCCGACCCACCGGGGTAAAGTCGCTCGAATTCTCCGGGTCCATTTTCTGCGTCAAAAGCGTCGCCACCCAGCATGTCGCCATGAGGAAAATCACGTGGAACAGGCTGTAGTTGTACTGCGTCCCTTGGCGCTCGTCGTCCTTGGAGCTGACTTCACCGCCATCTTCATCATCCGAGTCCTCGTCCAGCGCCGACGCCGGGAGCGCCCCGCTTTCCACCGCCGCCCTCATGATCTCGCGCCGTGACGCTGGCTGCTGAGACACCAGCCCGTGTTCGTTCTCATCTTGCGTCAATTGAGCGTATCGGTTCTTGCCCGTGTTCGACCCCATGGCAAACCCTTGTGTAGCTGCTCGCGTCGTCGTGTATGCGATGGTGAGCATGGTCACAATCGCCCCCAGCACCACCGTAGTTGTCCGTGCTCCCCGCGCACGGATGAGGGGATTGCAGTGCTTGTCATCAGGTTCCATGGCAACCGCCGAGAACGTAAGGTAGGTGCAGTAAACTGCCACCATGGCTGACTGTGCCAGACCTGCTTTTGGGTTGGCGTCTTGAATCGTCGGCTGAACACTCAGGAACGTCACGACAAAGAGGAGGACGAGGTTGATGGTGATGGCCGCGATGTTCATGCTGCACCCACTGCTGGCAAAGAAGATGTACATGACGATCGTCATGGCGAGTGCAGCCAGATACATCCCCAAGCTTGACCCCATAAGTAAAACTTGCCACAGCCGGTAGTTGGGCCCATCACCTTCATCAATCTTGTCCTGACAGAGTTCTGCCCACGTGTGCGCGAGATCGACAAGAAGAATCAACCCCAAGAGCACGAAGAGCATCGCCCCCACATATGCGACGTAGTTCCCCCAGAACATGAAAAAGCCCTCGGGAATAAAAAAAGAGATGACGATGAAGCCGATCCAAACCAGCAGTTTCGGACCCCAGAAGCCATTCTGCAGACCTGCTCGGGTGTCTTTGGTACTTCGGACTCCAATGAGCAGGACGGAGAGGATCAGATGGAACATGCCCAAGGCAAAATTGATGCGCTGAACCGCAAAATACCCATAACACTCAGATGAACCACATTTGAAGGTCATATAATCCAGAGTCAGGTGTTCCAGCTTTTTGATGGCCCAAGGTGTGAGCATTATCCAGGCCAGAATACTGTTGACCAGCAGAATCATGGCATAGGCAATTCTCGTGGCGATGGAGGATCGGAACTTGGACATGCCACAAGGTCCACAGATCATTGAACATGATGCTGCGCCGCAGCACGAGGCTGCCACTGACCACAGCGTCGCCGCAGAGGGCAGGATAAGGGCTGGGATAGCGAGGACACCACCCATTTTGGAAGTGAGACGGCCTTGTCGAGGTGCCGAGCTTCAAGGTGTGGGCAATTGTGTTTCGGCGGATATCGAGGGTTTGACCCAAGGCAGCGGGATATTCTTATCGTTACTCGTCTATAATGCTGTGTTGATCGGTGGTAGATGTTGATGGAAGAAACGGCGAAGAAGCGCAGGCGGCAAGTTCCTGGAGGGAGAAAGTGAGGTCAGAGGCAGCCGGGAAAGCGGCACCTCCAAGGGCAAGTTTGCCGGACGACGCCTTCTTCCCATTGGCTCATGTATCCGGCGGCATTCCATGCTTTAACTATTCTGAGAGAAGCCGTGGTTCGAGGTCGGATCCATTGCCGATTGACAAGTTCCTGGTGCCCCAACGCATGGCCCTCTTTATCTGTGCGTCCTCACCTCACCTCTCTCACATCTCACCTCGCAGGATCCTGGAGAGATTGAGTCAGTCTGTGCATCGATCATGACGGGATGACCACTGTGGTCTCCAACCAGAACTCTCAAGATGATACGCACTTCAGACCATAAGAAGGCCCGGATCATAACCGTGGTCGCATGCACCATCACCGCATTGGCTTGCGGTTCCAACGTGCGCAGGACCCTTTCCCCACCACGAGACGACGACTGACCACAATCTTAGTATGGCTACTCCATCTGGGGACCGACTTTCGCAGCTCGCCTCAAGTTGACTGCCACAGACAGCAATCTTATCGTACGTTGAGGCCTATGACAAACAAGATCTCCAAGAGCGGGAACGTTGGCTGATATTTTGGGATTACGCAGGGAACCCTGGGCAACTTTGGGATGTATGCATTTGGCATTCCTTGTGGTATGATGGTCGATGCGAAAGGGCCCCGATGGGGAGTTGCTTTGAGCATCGTATTGTTCGCCGCTGGGTACTACCCAATTGCCAAAGGTACGACCTCGGGAGTCATCCGGTGTTGTCCAAATGAGGCGGCGGAAGACGACCTGACACTCAATAGCATACGATGCTGGCCCGGGACACTATAGTGTGGCATTGATCTGCCTGTTCTCCTTTTTTACCGGCGCGGGAAGCTGTTCGGCCTTTACCGCATCCATCAAAGCGGGTAAGACCTAACCCCCGAAATTGGGTGAGGCTTTGAACTATGGGCTGACTCTATGCAGCTGCCCTGAACTATCCTGAATCTCGAGGGACAGCGACAGCCTTTCCGCTGGCGGCTTTCGGACTGAGCGCATTGTTCTTCGCTGGCATCGCCCAATTACTCCCTGGAGGGACATATAACTTTCTCATTCTTTTGGCCGCGGGAACGGTTCTTCTTCCTTTGATATGCTTTCCTTTTATGCGAGTTATAGTCCCTCCCACCTACCAACACCTCCCTCAGCACGAACGTCAAGTTCTCCATCGAACCAGATCAACAGGAAGTCGCCATCTTCCTCATCTCGACGAACCAGGTGCGCCACACACACGAACTCCCAAGACTCAACCCTTAATCAGTGGCGCAGAGCGAGCCCATGACTCCGAAGCCATCAATGGGGACGAGGAATCTTCCCTACTCTCCAAAACTTCCAGTCAAGAACAGGACGCCGAGGACCTGGAAAGTTCAAAGCAAATCGAGTCTGACAGAATGCATGAGCATCCGCATTTAGACATCCGAGGTTTCGCTCTCCTGCCCCATGCCGAGTTTTGGCAGTTATTCTTGATGCTTGGCTTGATGACCGGTATTGGTCTCATGACGATCAAGTAAGTCTTGGGTTCTTTTCCTCGACCAGGGCTTGTAAGACGGGCTGCTAACATATTTTTCTAGTAACATCGGCAACGATGCCCAAGCTCTTTGGAAACACTACGACCCTTCCACTCCCGAGTCCTTTATCGAAAGCCGTCAAGCAATGCATGTCTCTATTCTTTCCTTCTGCAGCTTCAGTGGTCGTCTCCTATCCGGCATCGGGTCCGACATTCTCGTGGCGAGGCTTAACCGGTCTCGGTTTTGGTGCTTGTTTGCGTCTGCTTTGACATTTTGTGTGGCACAAGTGGTCGCCACGGCTGTGTCGAACCCCCATTATCTCATATTGGTGTCAGGGTTCACCGGCCTGGCATATGGAATGTTGTTTGGAGTGTACCCGAGCCTCGTCGCACATTGCTTTGGTGTCCACGGTCTCTCGCAGAATTGGGGAACAATGACGCTCGCCCCAGTCATCTCCGGCAACGTCTTCAATATTCTATATGGAAAGATCTACGACGCGCATTCAGTCCGGAATGATGAAGAAGGACACATGGAGTGTCTTGTTGGGAATGACTGTTACCGAACCGCATACTGGGTGACTTTCGGTGCCTCGGTGCTCGGTGTGGTGTGCTGTCTGTGGAGCATCTGGCACGAAAGTCAGGTGCACAAAGCTCAAGGAAAAGACGGAAAGCTAGACAGGAGGAGATCGGACCATGAAAGAGTGGCCTGATTTGAGCTCTGGTTCTAGTGGAGGGGCATTTTTATAGACTATGCTTTTGTCTTTTTTTCGCGCGAGCTATCTACCTACTCACATTCTGGGCTGTGTGACTAGCATACTTGGACCAAACCTATCTGCATAGGTACGAGTACATTGGATCTAGAGATTCTACGCCAGAGAATTTAGAATTTGGAATGAGCAATGAACACAGGGGAAAGAGGGGGACTGGAATGAAAAGGGCGTGGTGTTTATAGGCGATTGACAATTTATAAATATCCAGTCAAGCCCGTGTGTACGTATGTACCTACACTGCCTACACTGCCTACAGTATCTGCAGCATGTATGTATGTATGTATGTATGTATGTATGTATGTATGTATGTATGTATGTATGTATGTATGTATGTATGTATGTATAGGTATCAATCTACCTACCCAGTGTCTACCTCGTATCTACCTGACCCACTAGGTACGCAATCACAATCACAAGCACAAGTACTAGGACGGACGAGTAGTAGAACAAAGGGCGATTGAGCCTGAGGTACTGTACCCGTGTATGTAGGTATGCTCTTGTGCTGACGGCTTGATATTCAATGCCATACTCATACCCATACTCATACTCATACTCATATCCATGCCGTTTCCTGTCGCTATCCCTATCCCTCCTCCTATCCACATCCACATCCTCAAGAATAATGACCCCGATGACCCTAGTGGTTAGAAGCCGTGGGAGAAAAAAAGCTCGTGCACAGTAAAAAAAAAGCTAGTAATAACAGTATTGAATGGGGAATTTGATCAAAGTGCGCTGATGCACTGTAATGGCACCACTCCTGTCAACGCCGCAGGAAGTTCTTCTCGTTCCAGGGTATCCTTCCATGTGACACCATGCCACAGAATTAAGCCACCCCAAACAACCAACCTAGGCCGTTTCCAACGACCCTTTTTTACCATAAAAGTGTCTGGCAGTAACCCTTTTCCTGGTGATTCCTCCATTTGAAAACCCCCACCGAATAAAATGGTTTTGCTCCGTGTTCAACTCCATGTTCAATTCCATGTTCAATTCCATGTTCAATTCCATGTTCAACTCCGCCACGCACAACGATCATCACATGTGGTACGTGGCTCATAAATTCTTCGGGTCATCATCTTGCCACTCCTGAGGCTCAAGCTTTGTCCGGTTCGATGGTGACCCGTGCCACCTCGGCCGCAGCAGAAGCCTCTTCCTGAGCAGCTGTTGTCGGTGCGTTATTTACCGGCGGGTTGCTGACGAGATTAGAGGGTGTGGCAGGGGTATTTGCCGGAGCGGCGGTCAGTTCGCTGATCTGCTTTTCCAGTTCGCGAATCCGCATTCTCAGCATCTGATTCTCACGGGTCAAGTTGGCGGTCTCTGCTTGGTAAAAGGCAGTCTCGTCGCGGAAACTGTTTCTCCGTGCCGTGCTGATTGACTCGAGGGGCGACGGGGGCCAATCACCACTTGTAGTATTGCCGGTGCTTGAGTCCTGGCCTGGTAGTGGTCGGAGGGCTGGCGAACGGCTTGCGCTAGAAGGTCCGCGCGAGATGCGTCTTGTGAGCGGAGGGACAGTGGGAACTGCGGGGTGAACCGATGGAAAAGTTATCGAGCGTTCAGAGGCAGGCGTTTCGTCGTCGACCACTGCGGTGCTGCTGCCAGCCAGAGCCGAGTTGGGTTGTGAGGACTGCCGGGAGTGATGCCCGTTCTGGCCTTGACTGTTTCGGAGTGCGTCAAGTTGCAGCTGTTGCTCTCGGATCATCTGTAGCATCCGATTGACTTGCGCTTCTTGCTCCTGTTCCAGCTCATTATGAATTTCCCCGAGACTGGGCTGACGCTGATGGTGCGGATCGCCTGTGGCAATGGCAGACCTTCCACCGATGGTAGGGGGGCTCGCCGAGGCGTAGCTGTGACCGAACCCGATTCTCGGATCGCTACTGGAGAGTTCGCCGGGACTGGGAATGCTCGGATCGTTCAGGTTGAGGTTCATGGCGACTTGCGAGCGACGACGATCACTGGGCATCCGACCCAGGCGAGGAGAGCCCCTGTTGCTCAAAGAGGACCTCCTAGACTCATTTGCAGCATTTGTCACAGCGGCGGCAGCGAGAGATATGGAAGAGCTTCGAGGAGAAGGGGTTTGTTGGCGGTTGGGAGGAATGGTGGTAGACTGCAGGGAGCGGGGTTGCATCGGCGAGGAAGACATCGATCTGGAGGGCGGAAGAGAGTTTAGGTCTGGAGGAGCCATCACAAAACAAGAGGGACTAGCAGAGAGAGAGGGAGGAAACGATATTAGTAGAAAGGATGTACGGGTAGGGTGGAAATGATTACTGCGGTGGTTGTCATACCACGACGCAATATCGTCAGGGTTATTCAAGGGAAATGGAGGGGGGATGGCGAAGAGAAACAATTCAGTGGGCAGCTGACTGGACAAGATGCTTGGCAGAAGGCGATAGAGCTAATAACACAAGGGATAAGTTCTCTAAGGAAGCCTCATTGTATTCGTAATTGCTCAGGCACTGGTCGTGTTGGTTAACCACTGAGTATGTGGAACTAAATGGCCAGGCTGGAGGAGGGAAAACGGGTGAAAAGCATCAAGAACAGATGAGTGTTTTGTGAAATAAGCAGCTATGACGACGATGGCCACCTAATGGCCTGAGGTTTGGACTCGTAAGCGGAACAGCATGAGGTAGAGAGGGGCGAGGGGCAAGGGACAAGGCTGTGTCACAGGGCTAGAGAAACAAGAGACTGGATGCCTGGCACCTTCCGGGCTATACCTCGTACACTTGTAGGGCTGTTGAGGTGCTACTGGGTGGCACAAGGCATCCCTATGACTAACAAAAGGCTTGTTCAGGCTTCCAGGGACACCCGCTGCTGCCCGGAAGAGTTTCTTGGGGGAAAAAGGACTACTGAGGCGACCTCCCGTGCCTCTCCAACCAATACGTCATTCAAGTCACGTCTCCTCCAGGCAACCTGGAACGCACCCAGGCACCTCGGCCGCTCGTCTGCTTGTTGTGCCTCTCCCAGACTTCGCCCCTTCTCGAAATTGAACGCGTTCGAGTAAACAACCACAGTACTCGGTAGTGAGAGAGAGCGCCAAAGCTACCAAACCATAAGAACATCGACACTGTGTCCAATCACATCCTCCACCCCAAATTGGCGACCGTGGGCCTGCACTAACACCGGATCGGGAGCTGGTTGTTTACATACTTGGGGAGTAGCTTCACCCTCGCCTTCCTCCCAGCCACTTGGATTTTTACCCGCTTTTGTGCTGGCTGCCCGTCCAACGTCCGCTCCCCCCCAGCCTCCTTCATCATCGTACACCATCACAACATCCGCCACTCATCCATCCCTCCCTCCGATCTCGCCGTCGCATTCCTTTCCTCTGCCTACGTCTCACATACACAATCGCGTTGCGCACATCAAGACGAAAAGATCCCACACTTGTTCCACACCGTGCCTGTTTGGCCATCATGTCAGGGTTACCATATCTCCAGAAACTGCGCAAGAGCGACCTCACCGAGTTCGCCGAGACCAGCAAATTGCCTGAGTACGTCCCTTATCCTCGCGCCTGGTACCGACGCGTCGTTGTCTGGGTCGCATGACCTGGCGCATGCTTGCTGACTAGTATGCGACCGCAGTTTTGCTCATTTGAAGAAGGCTGAGCTCGAGATCGCTCTCGACGAACACTTGCGCTCCAACTCGACGACCTACGGCAAAGATCCCTCTTTGAGCGAATACTACAAGCGTCTGGCGAGCAGCTCGCGATCGCCCACCAAGAGAACGGCAGCCGAAAAGGTCTCGGACAGTGTCAAGACGGACGACGATGTCCCTGCTCCTGTAAAGAAGCCGAGAAGGAAGACGACCTCGACCACTCAAGAAGCGTATGTATCGCGGCTCGTTCTCGTCCCTTTGGCCATCGCTGACAATTGCGCTCAATAGCGAGGAACCAGCACCAGTCGTCAATGCGCTCATCAAGACCCCAGCCAAAGAGGTCGCGCGTCGGACTTCGATTCTGGCCTCCCAGATTCCCATACCGCCCTCGCCGGCCGTGGTCACGGACGCCATTGACCAACAGACGCGTCGCATTCGAACCTCCATCTCCCATGCTTATGAGCAAACTCAGATCCACGAATTTGCTGATGCCACACGCGATATTCTCTCGTCACCTATGACGGTCATCGTGCTCGCCGTCCTGCTGGAGGCGTATGGCCTCCGCCCGCAAATCTTGCCCAACAAGCTGTTGACTGAGGTTCCCGCCATCCCGTACATCAAGTCAACCAAGACACCAATCCTGGTGCCAGATCTTTTCCTGCTACTGGATTCCAAGTTCTGGTCCCCCTTCTCACTGTGGACACTGACTTCGCTGGTTATCCCAGCCGCCATTTCGTACTTCATCAATCTGCCGCTGAAGGCTCATCCTAGCCACAGTTATTCGACGCGTCGAGCGGCTCTCCAGGCGAACACGCAAATGCAATTCGATCCCTTCATTTTCAGTCTCGCCAAAGGCTTGATTGTATATCTGGTGTATGCCTATCACTACTCGCTGGGTGGAATCTATAGCAACTACACGATTGCGACTGTCAATGAGAGCATTCCAGGTGGTTACTTTGCTGTGTTGGTCGGTTCCGGCCTGGGCGCCGCGGTGAGCTTGTACGAAGCTGTCCTGAAGAAATAGGGGACTATGGGATCGATGCGAACAGACAGAGAATCGGTACTGCTAGGGGATACGCAGTGCCACGAAGCATTGGGTCTGGATGTGTACAGTGCTTAGGGCATTGGGGATGTCTATTTGGGAACACAGGTTGATACGAGTTACGATTATTGTCGGTTGACCATTGACGGCGCTGAGGGTTTCAGGTGGCTTCTACTTTCGAAGTTCCGTTTCCATGAGTTCGGTCGATTCGGCTCTATACCCATGGCGATAATATTGGGGCCGGTGCATGTCTGGTGTCTGCACTGGTGACTGGGTTGGAAAGGTTCATGTTTCTTGTTTAGATACAAATAACAGTCGCTTTGAAATTGAATTATGCACTTTTCAGCATCTCGATCTTGGTGGCTTTTTTTTGGTTTCTTGTACCGCACGGGTTGATTCTCGACGAAGATAGTTCAATGGTTGCACGAGAACAGAGGCGAAGTTTCACTCCAGGCTGCCACTTGGCACAAACGAATTAATACACCAGGATATGTACGATGTACCTCGTACCCTGCTCATGTAGGCGAGTGCCCCGCAGACGGTGCGACAGGGGCCAATTTCTCGTGGAACAGTCAGTCAAGACCGAGCTTTCTTGATCTTCAGGCAGCAGCTGTGGGATTTAAGCTGATATGATATGATAGCAATCTATCTCCCATGGATGCACCATTAATTCGACATTGAACAATCTCTTCTTCAGGCCATCACCGTCTTGGTGGATGGAAATCCATTTCCGCCTTTTCTAGGCGCTCCTCAGTCCGTGCTGCACCATGATGGATCCTGGCACGGTGTTCTCTGTTCTTGAGATTGTGGGCGCGGTAGTGAGGCGCCTCGTCGAGGCCGGCCAGACTATGCACGATGCTCCGGAGGGTCTGACGCGAGTGATCAACGAGACGGAGAAGCTTCGGGCGCTGCTGGACCGGCTCTTGATCTTTCAACGTGCCCTTCCTCAGGAACAGCGAGACATCCTCGACAAACAGGTGAACACGACCGAATGGAGAGATCTTCTGACAGACCTGGACAACCTCACGTCAGGCAGGAAGCCCGGAGACATCGGAGGCGGAGGAGGGGAGAGGATGAAGCTCGCTGACCGGTGGTGGTGGCTCCGGAGGAAAGACGTCGTCGAGGACAAGGTGAGGAAATTGCAGGAACAGACCGAATGGATCTCGAAGCGGCTCGTCAAGTATTTCCATCATTTTTCTTCCCTCGTTCAAGCTGCGCCAGGTGGAGAAAGAAACTGACCAAGAACAAATACAACTTTTTGCACAGCGAGTACCTCTTCGAACACCACCAACAGCTCTCTCAGAATTCTAAACAAGTCTCCAAGATACTGGACTTGGTCATGTCCGTGGCGCTCAAGTTGAACCCGGACAATCTGCCCTCGCCTCGATTCGACGACAACGGCGTATACTCTCCCTACAAGGCCGAGGGGATCGCCTGGTACGGGCAGTACCGTTGCAAGCCCGGCCAGGACCTCTCCATGCCCTACTTCCGCGACCGACACCTGCTGGCAGAAAGAGCCTGGGCAGGCAACTGGAATGGGGTGATGGAATTGCTCGGGATAGCTCGCAAGGAATACAGGCAGAATTGGATCAATTGCCCTCCGATTTGTACGACCCCGAGATCTTCCATTGTGCTATTCGAGGTTTATACTGACTTGTCTGTGTAGACAAAGCGACCGAGCAACACAAAATCACCAGTGGGTTTAGACCCCTTCACCAAGCCGCGTGGCACGGTGACAAGTCAGCGGTGGAATCTCTATTGAAAGAAGGAGCCTGGCGTGAGTGATGCAGCGTTTTGCACGTGGGATGCTTGGGGACACGACTGATTTGCCTTGGTCAGGTCTCGTGAGAACTTCGCGAGCGACCAAAGACTCGACCGAACACAGCACGCCACTGGACGTTGCCCGAGACCACGGGTGGAAAGATCTCTACGACAATCTCAGCCCAGTCATCAGACGGCCTGTGAGCCACAAGACCCTGCACATCCTACAGACGCACCTTAACGACTTGATCAAAGACACCTTCGGCGGCCATCCAGACGCGCATCTCGACTGTTTTCTCCTCCCGGAGCTGGAAGTCCTGACCGAGTTTGACCGGTCGCGCATCTGGTTCCCCCTGAACCCTGAACTGCCAGACACAAGGGACGGGATCGCCGTCCACATCATCCTGGAGCGGAACGAGCTGGTTGCCGTTATGCGATGGGATAAAGTCAAGAGGAGGACCTATCGGATTTCCACGTCGAAGGTCCAGGAGATCCAGCAAGCCGTTGTCCTTCGCTAAAGGGGCTCTTACCGAAGAGTAAACAGAAGGGACTAGTCAGCGGCGGTGGCAAGCTGATAATGTGGTGATATTTCTATGAGCGATGACGGGGTGTCCCAAGAGACTCAATATGGGAAATGATTGCACTTTGCTCGCCATCACCCTGGGTGGGACTGGTTAACGCTCGAAATCTATATCTCACTTGGCTTTATCCGATGGCAAGACAGATCGAATGACCAGATGGCACTTGAGGCTGTCGTGTACAAGCACCAGTTGATATATGCTCGGAAGTTACAATACCTGCACCCGTCGTCCTCCTCAATGTAATGGTAGATGAATGCTATGAAGATACAAGAGTTGACGCCGCCTATACCAAATCTGTCAAACCAGCCTCACCAAATCAACCTCAAGTGGAATTAGAGGTGAAAGCCAAGGATGTAAATAGGGCGGCATTACTTTATGCCAAAAGCAGTCAATTGATAGTCTTGGCATGCTTGGCAGCCAGAAAAGGCTACGGCATCACAGCCTCGTCCCAATACCAAGTGCCGAATAACTTTATGAGTTGTTCTTGGATACTCTTCCGGACAGGAAAGACTGTGCTCGACAGTAACCACACAGCCCGAAGAGATGCCAGCCCCCGACAATATTTACGAGAACGATGTCGACTTCACGACGCTGGCGCTGCAATATCCCGATTTCGCCAAAAGGTGAGGAGGTCAAGGTCCCAAGGCTCAGGCCCCAGAGCACGATGGATGGGACGAGGCATTTTAACATTGTTATCTCTATCTCTCTCCGTCGTCATCAGTACATTGTGTGATGGGACAACCACGTTTCCATTCCAGCTAACGTCTCCGACGTCCAAGGCTAAAATCCAATCGTCAACTCGACTTCTCCGACCCCGAAAGCGTCAGGTATGTTGATCGAATGGAGTTGTGTCTGGCTTTGTTTAAGTCTATCTATTGCTGCACTCTTCTCTCCTCTATGACTTCGGATGACGGTTCTCCAGACAATTGACAAAATGCCTCCTTCATCGAGACTTTGATCTCACCGTCGACCTCCCCGAAGATAGGCTGTGCCCGCCAGTACGTTGGTAAACCCGAGCTTTAAGGGTGGACCAAGGTTTCTCGGTGCCCGTTGATCCCACTGACGCCCACTGACCCGACGATGTTATTGTTCTTGACTTTAGTGACAACTATACAGGTCCACAACCGGTTCAACTACATTCTCTTCATCCAACGTCTCCTGGACAGCACCTCTCCCTCCTTCCACCAAGGATTCGACCCCGACAGACAGGTGATCGGACTCGATATGTGTGTAACCTCCCTGTTCCTGTTCCTATTTTCATCTAATACCCCCCTTGTATAGATCGTCCCCCACTTACTTTGTCTCTATACCTCTCCATCCAGACTGGATATCTGTTCGCTGGCTAACGCTTGTTGTCGAGCGCGTTGTGAAAAAGCGGCACAGGGGCATCTGCAATCTACCCGCTTCTCGCTTGCCGACAACGCCCTCAATGGCGCTTCCTCGCTACAGAGATCGACGGGAAGAACCGCGAGTACGCGCAGAGAAACATCGTCGCCAACAAGCTGCAGGCACGCATTAGACTGGTCGATACGGACGTCAAGGGAGACCGGCTAATTCCTACGGACCAACTTGAGAGGTTTGACCGGTACGTGGAAGATGCCTGGTCCAGCATTCCTCCCTCCCTTTGTCGTCTAAGGTGAAGAGATGAATTTACCTAGTTATTTGACTTTGCTGAAGGCCTTCTTTTTTTTCGTCTTACAGCATTGACATCCTCCTCACGAACCCGCCTTTTTATGACTCGACAGAATCCCTCGTGGATTCCGCTCGCCAAAAATCCCGTCCGCCAAACTCAAGCTGCACGGGCTCGGCCGTGGAAATGATCACCCCCGGCGGCGAAGTCGGCTTCGTCTCCAAACTCGTCGCCGAATCACGCCTCCCGGCGAACAAGACGAAGATCCAGTGGTTCAGCGCCATGCTGGGGAAGTTGTCGAGTGTGGGCGCCGTGGTGGAAAGCCTTCGAGGCAGCGGATGCGGGAACTACGCGGTGACCGAGTTCGTGCAGGGCCAGAAAACGCGGCGGTGGTGCGTCGCCTGGAGCTGGATGGGGTATCGACCACCCAACGACGTGGCGCGGTCCGTGGGCAGCGGGAGTGGCGTCGAGAAGAAACTGCTGCCTCCGATCACGGAGACGGAGTTCGAGGTTGAGGTGCCAGTACGAGGAGGAGACGGGCCGCTGAGCGTGCTCGACATGGTCGCCGCGGAGATTCAGCGCTTGGACGGGGTGCTCTGGAAAATCGACCGTGCCGGCGGTGTGGGGATGTTCATGGCCAGGGACGGAGACGTGTGGAGTCGCAAGGCGAGGAGGAGGAAACAGGAGGCTGAGCGTGAACACGGAAGTGAATCTCAACCTCGCGCGAAGCGGATTGCGAACGAGCACGCCAGAGGGAGCAAACATGACGCAGACACAGACATGAAGGACGACGACGATGACGACGACGACGATGACGACGACGACGAAGAACCCGAATCTGAGCCCGCCCTCGTCGTGCGCATCTCCATTTCGGCCTCTCCTTCTAGTTCTCGTCCTGCCTTTCGCGGCGCCGAACGACCCGACGACACCTCGTCCACGTCCACACCCACGCCCGCACTACAGATCCAGTATCAGATCCACATGCGCCATCTCCAGGGCGAGGATCCCGTCCTCTTTGAGAGTTTCTGCGGCTGGCTCAAGCGGAAGATGGTGGTGGCGGCGGCGGCGGCGTGATCGATCACTTCCATCGAAGCCATCCGACCGACCGACCGACCGACCAATTCAAGCATATATTTTTTCTATTCTCCTCCCAACTTTATCGTAATGAAAACGAAGAGGCGAAGGAAGGGGAAAAAGAAAGACCGATAAAATATTGTAAGCGGGCAAGCCAGCCCGATAAACGCGGACGAGACAGGACAGGATGAGACAACGGACGTTTATTCCGCCATGAACAAACAGATTCCCATTTCTCATTCTCATTCTCTCTTTTTTCTGAATGACTTTTGTCTTTGATATACAGAGGGCAAAAAGTCTCGTCTCGTTTCGTCTAGTTTAGTTCTGGCCTGGAGGATCGGGGGGGCCGAGATTCTAATTGTATGCAAGGCTGAACTGACTGGTACAGATGGAGTCGAGTCCATCCCGTGTTCCCCGTGGTAAAGTACAGGAAATGCCAGAGAAAGATAAGATGCTCACGCTTTGGCATCTTGGGCCACAAAATATGTTTGTAGCAATGGACACATCTCTGAAAACCTCCCACCAAGTAAACCGCCATCTTGTCAAAAAAGCGTAGAGGCATAAATGATCTGCCTGATCCTCCTCGCCCTAGTCCCCCTTGTCCCTACTTCTCCCGTCTTTTATACAGGCCCCGTTCTGCTTGTTCGACTTCCCCTCCTCCCACCACTCTGTGAGAGCTCCAAGCCCCGGCTCAACTGACTTGGACTGGTGGGTGCAGCGCCAATACTGCCATTTCGCGTCGAACTGACGCTGCCGTCCCTTCCCCTCATAAGAACCAGTTCAGGCATGTTAAACTTGACCTCTCCCACGCGGCGGAACATGCCCCAGAGTGCGTTGCGCAGCTCGGAGCCGATTTCTTTTTCCAACAAGCCCACCGCAAGGGGGTAGAATGTGTCGAGGTGCTTCTCAAAGCTGTCCTTGGGGAAGTTCGTGTACCCCTCCAGGACATCAATAACGACGGGCCTCCATGCGACGATGTTTCGTTGTTGGGTTTCCTCGTCCAGGAGAATGAAGGAGCGGATAATGTCGGCGCACAATCTTGAAGTCACCATGAAATTAGTAACAGATCGAAACTCTCAGGAGAACACAATAACTTACGGTATCAGGGCACCTTCGGTTTGATCACGACTTGACCTCCGCTCTTCCCCTTCGTCATGATACATCCTGAGGAGGATACTAACATATGTATTCGCCGATCCGGATTCTTGCTTCAACAAGTTTGGTGGTTGTCGCATGAACCCTTGTCTCCAAAGAGCCATGCGGAGATCTTTGTCACCATTGAACTTCTTGGCGAATTGATACGACTTCTTCAAGAGCGCCATCAGGCGCAGGAGCTCCGACGAGGGGATTTGGGCATAGACCGAGTCGTTAGAGAAGAGCTCGGCGACGGTCTCGATCATTAGCAGCTGGAGGACGCAGTTGGTGATGATCTTGTTGAAGAACCGTCGGCGGGCAGCCGTCACCACTGGTGCAGGTGCTTGCATATCTGAATGTGGGCGATAATCCTCCAGCTCCTGAGTGCTCTGGGCTGGGGGAATTTCAGAAATATGGGCTGCCGAGCTTACTTGCGATTCCAAGGAGGGAGTTGCACCGTGAAAGGATACGGGTGCTCCATTTGTCGTGGGAGTTTCGACAATCGTGGTTCCAGAAATAGATAGACCTTCGGATCCATCGTGGCCGGGAGAAGGTCGAGCATCAGACATCGTTGCTGCGGCCGAGAACAGTTCATAAGCTGTCGTCCGGTTGAAGAGCTCTACAAATGCAGTCACAATTCGTGACCAATGCTCGGGAGAGAATTTCGTGACGTTCTGGAGAATCAGTTGCTGGAGACAGTTGCTTCCTATTCGAGCAATGGTGTCATTTTCTTGACATATGCACAATGTGAGAAGATCCAGAAAGCGGTCAAGCATGTGTTCTAGTGAGTCAAAATAATGTGTGAAGAGGGTGATCATGTTTCGAAGAGCTTGGATCATTGTCGTCGACAGCCATACCGACAGTTCCTCGTGGTTGGGGGCCTTTGACATCTCTGACTTGCTTTGCAAGACGACAAAGATCGGGTAGAGTAATTGGCGCCAAAGGACATCCCAGAAGTCGGTAGGAAAATCACCGCCATATCTGATCAGCGTTTCAAACAGATAGGTGAGAGCTCTGGACCGTACTTCAAGATCCTCACCCGTCATCAGAACATCCTGGTATGCGATCAGGACCGGGTACCAGAACTGTTCCTCCTCGG